CGACCAAGCACCATCGACCAAGCACCATCGACTCTGCGAGATCTCAAGTCAGGAGACGGCGAGAGAAGCCGTCTATGCCGAGAAAGGCACAGCAGCGAGACCTCTGACTCCGACTGAAGCCGGTTGAGTGAAATTATTGAGTCCGGTCACCTTGAAGATACGTCCGGGAACCAAACTAGGTCCGAGTCGGGGGACTGCAATCCAAACAGGTCGAAAGCAAAGAAAACGAGGTGGCGCTGGACGGAGCGAATTATATTGAGGCGTCCCTCGATATGGAGCCGACACGCAAGCCTTTCAATGAGGAGGAACATATTTCCGTGTTCTCGTGCTTAATTGTGACAATGCGAGCCCTCTTGCCCGCCCAGTTGTACCGTTTTTCCAGCTCCTCGACTCTGCTCTCAAAGGTGAATCTACATATAAGAATGGATCAGGTGTGCAACGGAGCGCCGGCAAGCGACGCTCGGAAAGTACGGAAGCCTGATCCACGGAGAGATCAGAGACAATAATCCCTCTATGCCTCGAGAGACCCGCAACTCCGCTCTGTCAGATTAGTGCACAACCTGATGGTAGATGATTGCGGATGCGGAATGCTCGAGGATGAGCGACTGGCAAGCGACTCTCCAATGTCATCTTCTCCGAGAGAGATTCCTTTTCGCGGAATGAATCTTCCCATACCGCCGCTGTCACGCACATGAAGTACACGTATCGGCCCTCCTACAATCCGCCGCGGATCGAGTTCAGCTCCCACATCAGGGGGAGGAATTCTCTCCCATCCAATGCTCTCCTTGAAAGCTGTAACCCTTTAGAACTTTATGAGAATTCCTCGGAGGAGACCTCGACACCCAGAGCTACTTACAGCCGGAGAGAGATCGAGTCTGCGCAGTTTAAGAGCCTTCCTGGAGCCCGAAGAGTCGCGGAGCATCGGCGGATAGGAAAATATTTATTGCAAAACTAGCTAATTGGTGAGTCTGATCTGGGTGCGGAGGTGGCCAAATCATTTTGAGTGGTAGCGGAGGCGAATCTCCATAGCTGAGAACTGCGCCGCGTCGCGCTTGTTCTCACCATACCCCGACGCGATCGGGATGCACGTGAGAATGCAGAGGATCGTTCAACCTCGTTCAGTGGAATCCACCTTCATGCATGACATCCACAACGTGCTCAGCAGTCACGGAGTCTCCTTGAGGCCCGAAAAAAAGAAGGACGCTGCATTTCGATACCTGAATTGAAGTATCACGCCTCTCCGCGAGAATTTTCCATGCGCGAGGACGTCTCACGCAAATATGATCAGAATTCAAGACTCTTCAGTCCGGGGGATTCCAGGACGCAGGATACACTCCTGTCCCCGAGCGGGTCGGGGAGAAATACTTAGACCTACGGAATCCTGACTAATTATCATCCGGAGCTATCCATGACCACCCGGATTTTAATCCGGGTCGGAAACCTTCGAGGGATTCCGCCTTCCCCTGGCTCAGCCTGAAATCGCGATTCAGGAGGAGCATACGATCTTGCAATCCGCGGCTTCAGGTACTTATGGTGAGCTCCAAGGATTTGCGTCCGGAGCGGAACAGGGCGGAACCGACGCGGCTCCTATCTCAGCCCCTCTGACGGGTCTATCAGACTGAGAGCACCCGAAATCAGCACAGAGAGGCCATCTGAGGAGGGTCTTGAAGGAGTGCCTGTGATTCGAGGAACTCATGCGTCCAACGGTCTCTTCAAAGGAATATACGCACGCAACCTCTCGCAACGCTCTCGTATGCTCCGCTACGAGATGATTCGGATGATTATCAATTCCTTCTCCTGAGATGACCTTCTTGCTTTCGGCACGGACCTTGAGACCAGCTCTGACTCATTTTAAAGGCCCGAACATATGTTCGGGCCTCTCTGGACAGAGGCGAGATAAGGATTCAGTCTTGAAACGAGAAGTCGTCGTGGGTCAGCTTCCTCCTGTAAGGCACGCCCGGAGTTGGAGATTCTGTACGTCAGCGTTGTCTCAACACGTTCGACCCCGACGCTGAGACTGGCAACCGGCCCGCGGAGCTCCTCAGCCTTTCGACGCCGAAGCGATCCCTCGAACCCTGAATGATTTCGCCGAAAAACGGAACGTCCGCCTTTTCTGCGATCCCGCCGCCGCCGGTCACGTAATCGTCCGACCGCACTCGGATGGCGCAAGAGGAGCCTGCCTGGCTGCGTCTGACGCTCTGGATTTCTCTCCGCTTGCTCGAGCATCGGATGAAGATGCAGAAACTTCTCTCCTACGTTTTCGCATTAGTATCACAGGAGGACTTCTCCTACATTGACGGAGCGGAATCCTGCGATATAGAGCCGGACCGATGACCCAGGTCTCAGGAACGTCCGTTCCCGGGGAGCAGTGATCCTCGGCCTCGCCACTCAGGGGGTCTTGATGCGCGCCTGAAATATGTACATCGGGCCCAACAGCTAGGACAATCTTCACCTGAGCGGAACGGTCCGATGGCCCGAAAGTCCTGGCTATACATAGAGGTGGTATTCAACTCTGCTCTCAGCGTGAAATGTTTGTCGCGCTGCACCATTCTGTCAAGCATCGTCCGATATTTGACCAACCTAGCATTGAGCTCTTTGCGGCCGCGTCCCGTGTTCCTCTAGAATCTAGACCTCTGAACTAGGGACCGAGTATTTTCCTTTGAAGTGGCGCTCGGAATTCTCGCCCTGACCCAATTTGAACTTGGAGCCTCTGGAAAATTCTCATAACCGTGCGTAGGCAGATATGGTACGCTGCACGGACTGGATTCCCAAACCTCGGATTCTTGAGACGCAACCGCCGGCAGTGGACAGCTGTCTGCTCAACGCACTCGATGGAAATCTTTTCTGTCCACATTCGAAGTGTTCTTCACCAAAACACAAGATCCGCGAAATTCGGCAGGGGCAGTGTTCGGAACCGTCCCTGTCCAGTCCGCGAGAAAGAAGGTGTTCCGAGTTCCGAGAGTCTCCGAATCGAAGCTCTATACAAGGAAGAACCAATGATTGAATGTCTCTCACGACTTCGGATTCGGATATTCCAACAGCGGTATGCTGAGGTCGCCCTAATTTTCCGAGGAGAACGAGCCGCGAGATTAAATGAAGGCAAATACGCCGCTCACCCAGGGGCGTATCGGGGTACTGGCGAGATCCGGGATCGTTCCGCTGCTTCCGGGAGCACACTTCCCGGCATTCTCGAAGCTGCTCGAGCGACGGGGAAGTGGGCGTCATTCGAAGGGGAGCCCGAGTCGTCGGGGCGAGCGGTATCGAGTCCCCCTACGAGCCCTATCTACGTCCTTGCGCACAGCAGTCATTCACTCGCTTGGAAGGTATGCAGCACTTCTTTTGTTCTCCACCCACGTGTTCTGGTCAACTGCGACAATAAACACGACTGCGGGCGGAACAACAACAGTGCATCTCGGGTTGGTTCGAGGACGAATGAGACTAACAAGACAGCAAACATTTACCCGGTCCAGAGTGTCAACAATGGACACGATTGCTATCGCTGAGGGTCCGCATACGAATACTAGTGGAGCACGAGTTCCCCCGACAAACCTCCGACAGGGTTTGTTTCCAGACGCTATCGACTTGGAGATACATTCATCCCTGATCTTACTCCTACGCTCCCGAGATAGAGCTCTTCCTCATGTCCCCGAGGAGACTAGAAGGTTAGCAGCCGCTGCCCCAAATGAACGGAACAGGTACTCACGGGAAACCGCACCGTTACATTCGATCTCATTGAGGAGAATCATTCCTGTTCTACCTAATCGTTTTTTTTCTCGGTACAGCCGACGAAGGCGGGCTTGAACTCCATTAGGGACCGAAAGAGCTCCCTTCAGATTCTACATACATGGCCTTACGGCGGGTGATCTCTCCCGATGTGATAGCATGGAGCATCAATCACGCGTCGCATCCGTGTGTGATCTGTCGGTGCCTGCCTTGGCGAAAAAACATTTTTGGGAGCTCAAACGAGCGCGAGTCGGTGCCATCGGCAGGACCCGAGTGCCCTGCCACATGGTGTCAACACATACCCCGGCTCCCGCAGCCATATACAAATACTTTCGAAAAGCTGGGCTCTGAATATTTCGAATGGAGCTCTCGATGCGGTGCCAGGCTCAATATTCGCTCTCCTCCGCAATCGGGGCTTATTTTGAGATCATCGAGCTCGCGACTTGACTGCGGAAAAAAATACCCCCGAGAGCACTCATTCTCAAAAGTAATAATTGCTCTGAGAAGTCTAAAGCACATCGTGAGAGCTTCCGTTTGCATCGCGGAATACGATAGAGCGGAAATCTTCGGGATCGAAGTGTTCGGTCACCGCTGGAAGAAGAGACCCATCGATTGCTCCGTCCACGAAATTAGAGCCTCTCTCCCCGCTCCGATCGCGACCTTCAGCACCTGCGGAATACTTTCGCATAGATCTCACAGCACGTTAAGCCGTGGTACATCATCATCACAGCACAGGGGATCGAGATAAAGATTTACGAGATCGATGTAATCTATCCTCATATGGACGAGAGGCTAGCGAATAGTCGTTTCCTGGCTCAATGAGATCTCGCGAACGAATCCCACACCGAAACCCCCGGTCGACTAAAACATGGTTTCCCAGTTCCCATTTTTCGTTCAATGCTGGACGGACATGGGAGAATGGATTCCCTTGCATACGTTTGCCGAGCGGAACCCCTTCTGTGAGGAAGACACCCACATGGCAAGGAGTCCTTCCCGCGATAACTTGATGTGGAGGCGGATATTCGATATGATCCTCAATCCAGGTTGTCCAAACATTTTCACGACAGCCTCCCCGTATCCGATCGTCGCGACGTCAGAGGGGTGAAAGGCTACCATTGTTTTTGTAACAAACGTTTATTATTTCGGCCGTGATGTCAGCTTCCAAGCAGAAGATTCGGAATAACATTCTGTCCCACGAGCTACGCGACGGAGTTTCACCAATCGAAACGATAACGATCGGAAACCGATTTTCCCGAAAATAAAATATCTTCACAGGGAGAACTCATGACGGACTTCAGCGGGCCGCGATTCCGGAGGATCCCGCCACCGTTTCAGGATGGTGCCGCGGAATGTTTCTGCCGGCGCGGCGCCTCCTCCTTTCATAGAAGGTGGTGATGAAGACACTGCCTCGATGGCAGGAAACCTCCGTCCGAATTCCCAACAACGATTTGGACCATATATACGACGGTATATACAGCGTAGAATTCCAATAGGAATCTTCTCAGACAACGAACGGGAACATTCAATCGAAACGTCGAACGGCGCACGGACGGGGATTCATAATATGATCCCGGGAGGATAACAGGAAGCTTTCCAAACTCCAGATTCACAGTCAGGATGATATTCCGGTCGATCCTTGCAGCATCCTCACGTGACGACGAATCCCAATGGATCGAGATACTTCTTCCATGTGTTCACGATGTTCTCCCGTGGCTCCGAAAGTAATTTCTCCAGACATGCCCAAGCGTTTTGAGAACCCAGGACATACGGATCCTTGCTGTGTTCGTAGGTGACTAGTCCCAATGTCAGCGATTGCGCGAGCCGAGCACATATCATGATCTGTAAGGAGGATGAACATCGTTTCGAATCTTTTCTTCTCGAAGTTTAATCCACTCATGCTCGGTGTGATGAACTCACTCGAATTGTTTCCACATCTGCGTCCATGTACATCGCCGCTGGGAAATGGCGGTAGTAGCCGAGGAGCGCTTGACCGCAATGACCGAGCAGGTCCTGGTCGAGATCTTTGACAACAGACCCGATGTAGGCCAGAACAACGGCGAGGTCCCAAACAGCCGGGCCGCCGTGGCAGTCTCCGAAATCCAGGGCCGCATAAACTTCTCCGCTATCGTTCACCAGAACGTTTTGTTCGTTCAAGTCACCATGGATGATTACTTCATGAAAAGATGCAGCAGGTCAACAACTTCCGCTCAAAGCTGGTCCCTGCCCTGGAGAGCAAACCATTGCACCTACGCTACTGAACCTGTGTCAATATACCTCGTTCTTCCATCGCCAGTTGAGCATGGGCTATAGTCTCGTATTTTTGCAGAGCAGTGTTGATCAACGCTCTCTTCTTCTCGTCGCTGTGAACTCCGATGAATTGACGAACCTTGAGCACTCCCTCCCACGACCAGAGAAAGTTTCTCTCTTCGATCAGGGGGAACTCCAGGTCCTGCATGGCCCGATGCATCCTCGCAAGCAGCGAACCCCATTGAAAGGCCTGCGAGGCTTTCAGATGTCCTTTCTGGAGGGTCTTGCCTGCATGGAGGAGGCTCCAGATTATCCGATGTGCAGACGTGGTCACCACGGGGATCGAGGCCGGCGAGGGAACTCTGATCCGTTATGCTCCGTGTTAGACTTAGAAATGTGTCCACTCACCGGGCAGGTACTCGAATACTCGAACAATGCAGTCCTTGCGACCAATGGCAGATTCGTACGAATAGTGTCCAAATACTTCTCCGTCGGTGGTTTTGATCGGCACCGAGCAGGGGATTGACTTCGCCAGCTCCAACATCATCAACGTGATCTCTCCTGGAATATCAGAGCAGCGCAGTGAGTTTCGACGATCAGGGAAGCTACGGGACGAATTGAGGCAATTGACACGTTTCACAGTCATCTGCGGTGCTCACTTATCAGATGTTTGTTCTCACTGTCCTTCCAGTTAGTGATCTTCAAGACGATTTTGCGACCGTTCGGTTTGAGCTGAAAAGCAGACGTTGCGTAATTCTGGAAATACCCCAATGCCACAAAAACTCTGATAAGTGTCCCCCATACTGCCAGTACTCTACACGTTCGATTCTGAAGATGTCGAGAGGCTCCGCGGAATTCTACTCGTTTCTGACAGATCGCGAATTCTCGGCTGATAAGCCGATTCGAAGCGAGTGAGCACTCACCTTGACGCAGAAATTTTGGTCGTCGTAGCTTGCCAGCTCTTTGATGTTCTTTATGCATTTCGGTGCGAAACCGAACTGGTCTTCGAGAACGAATTTCACCTGCTTTGCGGTTAAGGCGGGCTTTGCGACGTAATCGGTCCCGTTCATGATTATCTCACGATACTTCGGTTATCCTCCGGATGGCTTCCAGATCTTGCGTTTGGAAAGCCTTTGGAACTTATTTATAGCGATGCGCAACAACGCTGAAACAGGTAGTTGATGCTCCAGACCTGTTGCGAGCTGTTCGACTCCAATCTGTCTCGACTTTCTTGAGGGTAACGAGTCCCTTATCTCGGTCTGAAGGAAATTCCACGGGCCGGGAAATCCGTGTTTTCTAATGATGAGCTCGTCGGTCGAAACGCTCACTCAGAGTTTGCTTAGCCTAAGCGCAAACAAGTTGTGATCGGGAGCGCGTCCCAGGACTCGGCGAGGCCAGGTTGATGGTGGCGACGAGAGGGAAGGAGTCAGCGGAGATCCGCGGTGCTCCTCGTTGGCGGGAAGCTTCGAAACGAAATACTCCTGCCCGTGTGGAACACAGCGCGTTCCGGGCGAATGCCAGGAATTCCGTTCGAAGTACACTGCGGTCTCCGAGACAGATTTCTCGGTTCTTCGGGTCGTTCCGTTCCAGTGTCGAAGGACTCTGAAGGAACGGAGCGCGAGCTCTGGGAATTAGAGGATAGCCTCAATGCCGAGAAACTACTTCACTCATGTCTTCGCCCAATACTCGTAGTCTGTTGCCGATCTAATAAAACAGCGAAGATTTTACGTGTACAAGACTGGAAGGCGGATGGAAGGCGGAATCGATAGTCGAATTAGATTCGATGCGCCCCCCCCTGCGTCAGATGTACGTGATGTATCACAGGAATTCAGTTGAACTCTGATGAAGCCGAGCTCACTCGTCACCTGATTCCACGGGCGGGGGAGCATTCCCCTCTGCACCGATTCGTTTGACTGGAAAAACGGAAACATACACCTCCAAGATCCGCTTGCGTATGTCATGCCGGGCGATCTCTGTCACTAACGAGCAGCGAGGGGATGTCGGTGACCAATCGGGATGAGAATCTCGTCGTTCAGGCGAGACGTCGATCATTGTACTAGACGGGGGCGAAAAGAGAGAATCGTATCGTCTAGAAAAGATCAATCCGGGGATTTCTCGGCTATGGACGCTCGTCTCGTTCAAGCTGCCTCGGAGAAGAATATAATCTCCACGAGATGCTACTCGATGTTTCCAGTCGAGTCAGAAACTTCTGAGACCTCGGCATGTCCGACTTGAGTCGTGAATTCGTCGGACATGTTCCGCCACGAACTCGGATTGAGGAATTCCTAGGGAACGAGGATATGCGAGCCCCTCGCTGGGGAGAAATACCACCGACTGACGCAACGAGCGGAAAGGTTGATTTTCCAGAAGACATATTAGCCCACGAGTCAAGCGAAACTTTTCGCAATCCAGGAGACCTGCGGTCCATCATCGGAGGATTGGAGTCTGATCTGCTATGTGAATCAGATCGTGGCACTCGATTCTCGCGGCTCTGGTTCTTGATGGCCGCGATGGTGTGCAGACGACATTTCTCGCCGAGCGAGGCGCTTGGTTGATGGTGCTTGATGGCTCGCAGGTTTTTCTATGGAGTGTCGAGGGGGACTGAAATAGTGCGGCTCCTCGCGCATCAACCGGTCACAGACTGCACTGTAGATTCCGGAGAAGTCCGAAAAATGTTTCGTTCACGTCTAAGACAAGAGCTCCGGCTAGGTGACGCAGTTTTGCGTTTTCAGCGCTACAAATCGGACACTGCGCGACCTTCCTTCACTCGCGAGCAGCAAAGTCAGGTATTGTTCTACGACTCCGCGCGGGCTCGCCCCAGAGCAGATCCCGATGGGGATTTCCCGGATGACATATCCCGACTGACAAGTAGAAGAAGCGGAGTATCCGCAGGACTCCTACGAGTGACAACATAATTACAATGTTTCATTCATCGTCGAGGCTGAGGATTCATCTTTGACAAGTCTCCCCTCGAATTATAGGTGCTGTCGCTCCTGAATAGCGGGTCCGAAAAAGAATTGAAGAAATACGTTGGCTTAAAGAAACTAAAACTTCTCATGGACTATCGGGAAAAATTCGGCGCATTCGACACCCTTGACAGCTTACTCGACATGGAAGGTGTTCGCTCCACAGACTTCGACAAGCTCTGCACGAAGATTTTGATGTCGACAGATAAATCCCTGATGATTTTGAAAGGCATCAGCCCGAAGCTTACTGAGAAGCGTCTCAAGGCAAGTTCCTCGGATTCGGACCATATCGGTGAGAGTCCCTTTCGCCCTGATCTGGGCATGTTGGGAGTAAGCGGGCGGATGATCGCCATTTTATTCACCCTTGGTTTCTTGCAGGGAATCAAGATCGTTGCTTCAGTCGATGTCGATGCCTTCTTCGGGACGTACGTCACAATGGACCTAGACGCCAAAGTAATCGGATGGGGCAGCTTCGTCCACTCGGATGAGAGCGATCGGAAAACGAAGATCGGTCTATATGAAATCTACACCAAAGCCGTGACCATCTACGAGAAACTTCCATCAGCCGACATCTTCCTAATGGAGAGCAAATCCGAGAGACCGAATGCTGCTTCGGTTTCAGAGAAAGAGCTGCAAACCATGCTTTACACCATGCTGAGTTTCGGCGAGCCGGATCAGCCGAAAGTTGCTCAAATCGCGGGGTTAGCCTTTTCGAACTATTACAACCTCACCATGGGATCCGACCAAGTATCGTGTCAAGAAACTTTTTTGAAGCTGGTCGACGACGCCAGAATCACGTTGTCCGATGAGCTCGGAACTCATTACAAGCGACAAAATGGCGTATCTAGAGAATTCTTGGCCCTCAACACGCTCCGGTGCTTAGCGTTTTTGAAGGCCACGAGAATCTTGCGGATGCGGAAGTCGTGAGACTGTTCAGGAGGCATATTCGTATTCGTGAATCCGAATACGAATATATTCGAATTTTCTTTTATGAATACGGATATGAATACGAATACGAGTACGAATATATTCGTATTCGTATTCGTATTCACGAATATATTCGTATTCATAAAATACTTGTGAATACGCCTATATTCATACGGATATCACAATTTAATGACGCCACGGGGACGAGCCAGGAGGCTGATTGGGGGTTTTCGGCCAAGCTGAGCACGATTTCAGGGTCAGGGCTCTCTTCTTCCGTCTATTAGTGGCGAATTCGCATGAGCAGATAAATTCGTACTCATAGGAAAAACTTTGTTCGATGGCGCTACGAACACGAGCGGGGCTTGCTCATTGAATCTTCAGCACAGGATTCTGCAACCAAATTACTCGGTAGAGACCGCGATCCTTGTTTACCAGAAACTCCCTAAGGGAATACAAGAGGCTTGATCTCTGTTGAGGAAAGGAAAGAAGTTCATTATTTTTTGTTTATTATTTATATTAGGCAGCGTCCTGAATCAGGACGCTGCCACAAGCGTACCCGGTTAGGCGAGGGGGGGAGGCGACCATTCGCCCCAGATTTGCTGAGGTATGGGAACGGGTCGCTGTTTTCTACCCTATCGTTGTGGCCCTTCTGACAAACCTCCGAGTACGCCCCTCGACAACACCCAGATTTTCCCACGAGTCTCGAGGTTTGAAGCAGCGTTCCTTGTGGCGCTCCCTGCGACCAGCAATGACATGACCCGCGGAATGCACAGTATGAGGTTCCTCCGGGAATTAGTGGATTCAGAAATGCCGGGGAAATCCAGGGACATGATCCGGGCTGGGATTCATATCGATCGACTTCGAAAGCAACATTAATTACTGCTTGACGGCAACACGGGTCTCCGGCGGGTTTGCGATGAGCAGACTGCCGATCTGTACAATAAACTTCAAGCCCGACAAGAGGCCAGTGGCTCTCTCTCTCCGCAGCAAAAGCCTACTCTTAACTCTTAGCCCGCTCCCTTCGATCATCCCACAAGTTTGACATCATCGCTGCCCGCTACTCTGGATGTTATGACATCATTTGCTGCTCCGAAACCTGGTTTCATCCTGGTGAGGCCTGTACCTACCAGCTTCCTGGATTCACCCATTACTATGTCTGTAGAGATTCGGGTTCGGGGGGCTGCGGTGGTGGTGTTTCGGTCTTCACCAGTGTATCCATCTCCATCTCTGCCGAAAGCTCATTTCAACCGTCAGACGGACGCATTCAGGCTATCCATCTTTCCGTCTCCCTCGATGGTTCGAAATTCAATCTCCTTGCGGTGTACTCTAGCCACTCATCTCTTGCCGGCACTCTCGGCACTTTCCTTGATGAGCTCGTTTCTAGCTCAGACGACCCGCTAATCCTCGTGGGCGACCTCAA